AAGGAACAGACAGCAACAGCCCGAAAGCTCTGCAAGGTGTAGACAGATGGGGAAAGGACTTGACAAAAGCAAAAACGTGGACTTTGTGCCAGCAGCAATTGCAGTTCCCACCCCCCAGGCCCCCAAACTGCTGCAGCACACCAAAAAACGACAGGTTTGAAGCTTGGGAATGTTTTCAGAGTCGAGCAGAGCGGTGAGGTAACCCTCGGAGGGGCAGAGCCCGCGCCAGTCGGCAGGAGGAGGTCTGGAACACGTTCAGGGGCTCAGGGTACAATCACTGGCAGAGAGGCAAGCAGGCATCACCTTACAGGGGCCAAGTGGAGCAAGGGTATCCTCTGGGTGAGGCCCACGCTATTGAATAACACAGAGCTCACTGCAGCTCACAAAGGGAAGTGTGTTTGGAAAGAATGCAAGGCGTCTGAAAGGAGCACGACTGCAAGTACCAGAGGCTCTCGCTGCCCCGGAGCCTGGCATAACTAACCCACGTGGGCCGGGAACCTGGCAAGGCTCGTTTCTTTAGGAGAGAGCATTTGGGGACTCTGCTGAAAGATGGATGGAAAGTGGAGGAAGTTCCTCGCAGAGCTCTGGCTGGGACGTTGCCTGCGGTTCGGGTCTCCGACAATGGCCTCACACACAGCTCCGCTCCTTGCTGCTCCCCTTTGCAGCAGCCCTGTCCTCGGCTGCTCGCAGGGTCTTGGCTCACTCCTCTGCTCCCATCACCTCTTCCCAACCCCGACCTTCTACTCACCCATCTGGCCATTGCTGTGTTTGCTTCTGCCTCCACTTCCCATCTGCAATATCAGCTTCGGCCTCAGCGGGTGGCACCCCAGCTGGATAAAAAAAAAAAACGGTTGGGAGGGGGGGGAGAATTCAGCATGGCCCTGGTCACTGAAACTGGGAGGGAAGCTGATGGGCTGCAGGCCTGAATACAGCGTCACGGTGATGGCATTGCTCTCTGCAGTGGTTATCCCCCCTCCGAGGGGATTGAGGCACCACCGAACTCCCCCATGGCTGTAGAAAGTGCTGGTCTGCAGAACTGCTGAGAACTTGTTATAAGGGGAAGTTTCCCGAATTCCCGCCTCCAGCTGTCCGGACAGAAAATTTTGGCTAATTTGTGGGATTTTTTTAGAATGAATGCAGACGGCATCTCTGCAAAAGCCCCAACAAATGGTTCCCTTCATTATTCCAATTTTCCAGAAGTTTTAAATTAAAAACCAAACAACAGCATGTGCCCGCCTGCGGAGAAGCGGCGCTTTTACTTCACGTGCTCTTCCCTTTTTCAGAAAAGTTTCTCTTATCTCTCTTTTCAGCTTTCACCCCCCTCAGATCTCTCCCCACTCTCGCTAGCACCATTTCTGCTCTTCTCCTGTCCTCGGGGTTCCCGTGCTAAAGACCAAAAGAAAATAAAAAAGCGCTTAAAACTCGATATTTGGCAGAAGGCTTGCATTTTTTTTAGCGTTTGCAACCATGTCCCGGGGGACTGTCCTTACAGAAGTATCCAAGCACGCTAGATGAAGCTCATTAGTAGGAAACAGCTGTTAAAAATGACAACAAACAGTTATGGGGGATATTTAAAATTGCCATCACTAGGCTTCAGAGTTAACCCCTGCTGAGAACGAGGGGCAGTTCAAATCTAAAAAACACTTTGTGCTCTTGGTTCAGGCGGAGGGTCCAGGAACAGTTGGTACCAGAGGGGACAGGCTTTTGCATCCATTCTTATTATTAAAAGGACGGTATTAAACGAGGCAGAAAACAGCCGTCTGAGGCCGAATGAAAGCGCAGCGTGCATTAGCAGTGGCTCTTGGCATTATGCCTAGTAGGCCCTCAGCCTGACGAAGGGGATTTATACCGAAAGCTTGCAAAGAAGAATTTTTCCAGCCATTTGAGTTGGTCTAATAAAAGATATCAGATCTACCCAAAGGCACACAAGTTTCTCTGTCCTTAGACCGACACGGCTACAACCCACATCCCTGTAGCAGGTATGTACTCATTTGAGAAGGTCTGTCTCAAGGTCAGTGATTTTCCTTCTTCAAAAAGGCTCTCAACCTGTCAAATTGTAGAAAAGGCAATATTTCACCGCCCCCCGCCTGGCTTCTGTTACTTAAGGAATTAAAGATTTCTTTTAAAAGGATTTGTCCGCTGACCTGGGAGTTTTCACATAAACAGCAACACCCAGGAGCATAAATGAAATAAGTACTTGTAATAAATGGTTATGTCCACCCAGTGTTCCCCAGTCCCCACACTACCATCACCCCCATCCTCCAGCAAGCGCTCAGACAGGGCTCATCTCCAAAGGAGTTAAACGAATTGTGGGAAACGATGGACACACTTTTTGCCCTGCCCCAACTTCCCTGGAGCAGCACAACTGGGATTTGCTGCTGCGGGGAGGAGCTGAATTCCCTCTCCTGCTGATTGAAGAGGGATGGAGAACCCACCACAGCCTTTTCACCGGAGGGGGGCTCTTCTTTCGCCTTCCTCCGAGCGCCGCACGAGGATGAAAATTGCTCTCCGCAGCCAGCGTCTCATCCCGTATTTACATACCGCTGCAAATTGAATTCTCCTCGTCTCTCACATGCCCTACATCCTCCTATCTCCATCCCCTCCGTCGTCTCCTGCCGTGCATTCCT